GCTGTGACCAAAATGCTGACAGTGAAGTCCAAGCTTCTGAGGGCTCCAGTGGAAATGAGGAACTTAAGTGGAAGTGGAGCAAAGGTCATGCATATTATGCCTTAGCAAAGAACATGGCTGCATTCTGTTTGCGCCTTAGGGATCTGTGGAAGTTTCAACTTGAGAGTGATGACCTAAGGTATCCTGGTGGAAGAAATTTCTAGGCAGCAGTGTTCAAGAAGTGGCATGGCTGCTTCTAACAACCTATGTTCAGATGTGTAAACAAAGAAATGACTTAAAGTTGGAAATCATATTTAACAAGAGCAGAGTGTAAAAGTTTGGACAATTTGCAGCTTGGCCATGTGGCAGAGAAAGAAGCTTTTTCAGAAGAAGAAATCAAGTGGGATGTGGAGCAATTACTTACTAGAGATATTTGCATAACTAAAAGGGAGCCAAGTGCTAATATCCAAGACGATAAGAAAAATGTCTCAAAGGCATTTCAGAGATCTTCATGGCAGCCTCTCCCATCATAGGCCCAGAGGCTTAGGAGTGAAGAATTAATTTGTGAGCCAGTCCCAGGGCAGCCTCATGACACTGCTCCTGACATATCCTGGCTGCTCCAACTCTAGCTGTGGCTGAAATGGGCCCAGTTATAGCTCGGGCTGCCACGTGGGAGAATGCAAGCTGTAAGTCTTGGCAGTTTCCATGTAGCGTTAAGCCTATAGGTGTGCAAAATGCAAGAGTGGAAAACACTTAGCCTCTACCTAGATTTCAAATGATGTATGGAAAAGCCTGGGTCCCCAGGCAGAATCCTGCTATGGGGGTGGAGCCCCCACAGAATACCTCTACTAGTGCAGTACAGAAGGGAAATGTGGGTTTGGATGCTCTATGCAGAGTCCCTCCTGGGGCACTGCCTAGTGGAGCTGTGAGAAAGGGGCTATCACCCTCGAGACCCCAGAATGGTAGATCCACTGGCAGTTTGCACCCTGAACCTGGAAAAGCTACAGACACTCAACAACCTGTGAGAGTAGCCACAGGGTCTGAACCCTGCAAAGCCACAGGGGTGGAGCTGCCTAAAGCCTTAGGAAATTACCCCTTTGCACAAGTGTGCCCTAGATGTGGGACACAAGAGTCAAAGGATATTATTTTGGAGCTTTAACATTTAACGACAGCCCTGCTGGGTTCCCAACTTGTCTGGGTCCAGCAGCTCCTTTCTTTTTTTTTTTTTGAGACAGAATGTTGCTCTTGTTGCCCAGACTGGAGGGCAATGGCACAATCTCAACTCACTGCAACCTCTGTCTCCTGGGTATGAGTGATTCTCCTGCCTCAGCCTTCCAAGTAGGTGGCATTACAGGCATGCACCACTGCGTTTGGCTAATTTTGTATTTTTAGTAGTGACAGGGTTTCTCCATGTTGGTCAGGCTGGTCTTGAACTCCCGACCTCAGGTGATCCACCCACCTCGGCCTCCCAAAGTGCTGGGATTATAGGCGTGAGGCACCATGCCTGGCCAGCAGCTCCAGCTCCTTTCTTTTAGCAGATTTCTCCCCTTTGAAAGGGAAAAGTTTACCCAATGCCTATATCTCCATTGTATCTTGGAAGTAACAAACTTCTTTTTGATTTTACAGGCTTATAGGTGGAAGGGATTTGACTTGTCTCAGATGAGACTTCGGACTTATGAGCTAATGCCAGAATGAATTAAGACTTTGGGGAACTATTGGGAAGACATGATTGTATTCTGCAATGTAGAAACACAAGAGATTTGGGAGGGACCAGCAGCAGAATGACAGAGCTTGTACATTTGTCCCTGTCCAAATCTCATGTTGAATTGTAACCCCCAGTGCTGGCGGCAAGGCCTGGTAGAAAGTGTTTGAATAATGGCTAGTTGCTGTCTGCCTAATAGTGAATTCCCATGATATCTGGTCAGTTAAAAGTGTGTAGGCTGGGCACAGTGACTCATGCCTGTAACCCCAGCACTTTGGGAGGCCAAGGTGGGCAGATCACTCAAGCCCAAGAGCTTGATACCAGCCCAAGTAACATGGTGAAAGTCCATCTGTCTAAAATACAAAAATATTAGCCAGGTGCATGCTTGTAGTCTCAGCTACTTGGAAGGCTGAGATGGGAGGCTTGCTTGAGCCTGGGAGGTCGAGGCTGCAGTGAGCTCAGATTGCTGCCTGGGCAACAAAGTGAGACTCTCTCAAAAAGAAAAATGAAAAAGTGTATAGCACCTCCCCACCTCCATTCTCTTCCTCTCTTCCGCCTGCTTTCACCACGTGACATGCCTATTCCACCTTTGTCTTCCGCTATGACTGGAAGCTCCCTGAAGCATCACCAGAAGCTTAGCAGATACCAGCACTATGCTTCTTGTAAAGCCTGCAGAACTGTGAGCCAATTAATCCTCTTTTCTTAATAAATTACCAAGTCTCAGATATTTCTTTAGAGCAATCCAAGAATGGCCTAATTCAGTCCTGTGAATTCCATCTCTAATTTCTATCAAATGTATCTCTTCCAAATCACTTTTACCAACACCACAATAATTTAGAAACTCATTATTCCAACCTGAGCACAGAACCCATGAGTGGGTATCAACCCATCAGTCTCTCTTCTGTTAAAAGGTTTTGCAGTTCTCTACACACTGAATCAATACTAAACCTTTCAACTTGGCATTTAGGTTTACCCCATTATAACCACCTACCTTTTAAACCTCATGTGTTACCACTGCCATCCATGCATCTACCCACCAGGCTGACAGATCACTGGGTATCTTAGTCTGTTTTGTATTGCTATAACAGAATATCAAAGACTAGGTAATTTATAAAAATAGTGATTTATTTGGATCATGGTTCTGGAGGCTGGCAAGTCCAAGATCAAGAAGGTGCATGTGGAAAGGGCCCTCTTGCTGCATCATAACATGGCAGAAGGCATCACATGGCAAGAGAGTGTGCACAAGAAAGCAAGATATTGAACTCGTGGCCTCAAGCTCTTTTACAATGGGCATTAATCCATGAATGAAGACAGAGTCCTCATGACTTAACACCTCCAATTAGGCCCCATCTCCTAACTCTCAGGATTACGTTTCTAAAACAAGCTTTTAGAGGACGCATTTAAAGAATAGCACTAGGTTTCCTGAGCACAGTATGCTTTAGCCTTTGAGCCACAGTACGTGCTGCACCTCAAATGAATGTTTGTATTTGGAAGCTTGACCTTTCAAAGCTTATGTCTAACATTACCTCTTCCATTAGGCCTTTTCTGATCTCCTCAATAAGACATGAGTTTCCTCTCCTGAACCCGTTCCGTGCTCTCTCCCTGCCTTACTCCACTTACTTTTATTGTAGTCATCTCGGTCCCTGTCTGCTACCCTGAAAAGACTGAGAATTCTTTGAAAGGAGAAGCCGACATCCTTTGTCAAAACTAGACATGGCTATTACACAGACAAACATTAAACTAAAATTCATATATATTTCTATTGATGGGCCAATATGCCAGAGTTTATTGCATTAAATTGTAATGCAGAAAATATATTGAAAAGACACAAAATAATCTGAAAGCAAAAGGGGCGAACCAAACATTTTGGTCTAGAGTTTAGTTCAATATGGTTGTACCTAATCCACAAAAGCAAGTGTTAGAATTTAGGCAATCTGGGTAAAAAAAGAGACAGTGGATTCCTTTACCTTCACAATCCAGGTAGACAGTCTCATAACATGACTCAAAAAGCTCTTGATCTTGACTGTGAAGGTGATCAAGATGAATAAATTGGTCCTGCCTTAATTTGATTTGTCTGCAAACGATCTATTTACATAATTCGGTGAGCCGTATAAATTCTTAATATCCACTTCATACACGCACAAATTTGCTTTACTCCTACAATAACTCTGCACTAATTCTGGGTATGTGATCATGTGCATACAAAGTGAACCAGGCTATTAGAGGATACTCTAAAACTGCCCTCGAGAGAAGAAAATGGAGGTTAGCGAAGCTGGTGATAAACAGACAGAAGGATGTAGTGAGGAGCACACAGAGAGAAGCAGAGTTGATTAGGAACCTGGCTGGGTGGGTCCCAGGGGAATAAAACACGGCCACCTCAAGGCCTGCAATCTAACCAGGTCAAGGAGAAAAGACTCCATTTAGATATTAAGAATACCGTATAGCATGGTGAAGAAAAGTAAGCAGGTGAAATGAGAGGGTAGAGAGACGGCAAGAAAAGCACATGGGAATATAATGATCATATTATGTCAACATATTTTGAGACAAATTCTTATACTTAGAACAACTGGCATGATTGTGTGTTAGCTGCGGTCTCTCTTTGAGATCATCTAACCTGCTTAGTTCAATTTGTTAGCCTGGAACCCCGAACTGTGAGAAGAGAGAGGGACTACAATGTCAATACAAGTGAATTAGTATTATAACAGAATTCTTACGAGACAAGGCTCATTTTCGAGAAAGTTCCCCAGTTATTTTACATAACGTTCAGCACATTATTCTGGTGCAACTAAAGAATTCTGGTAGTGTTGGAATTCGCTACAAATGGGAGGTAGATTGTATTATGAAGAATAATATTTAGGGTTGCTATAGCAATTTTTTTCTCCTGGGAGTTTAGTTATCTTTTACAGCTACTCCATCAGACTTAATTTTATTCATTCACTCATCCACCCATCTGTTCATTCATTCATTCCTACCACAATCTAGCGATCTAGACACACATGTGCATTTAGCTCTGTGAAACAGGTGAGGCATTAACAATGATATGCATAAGGCCCCTTTTTATAGTGCAGAGAGGTGACAAGTCTAACCTCAGGCAGTGAGTTTCTTGCTGGATCTAATGCTCAATGCTCTGTTCATTGGATTCTACTGTGTCCTTGCCTGGCCTGATTCTCCCTGCGATTTCTCTTTCCAACCACCAAACACCTGTGGAATCCATTATATTTTTGAGTAAGAAGCAATGGAAAGGATATCCCTTTCCTTGTATATATCCATGAGCATGCTATTCTGGATATAAAAGGTATGGAAAAAACGTGGGACTCACTGTTCACAAAGACGGCAAACCTCAGGAAGGACAGGTAGCGTTCCCCTTCAATGGGGTTCCAGCCGACGTCAGGGTATCCTTTGGCCAGAAGCATGGGGCAGCTCTGTAGGCCACAGCCTGCTAAGTACATCACCACCTGCCAGAAATAGTACAGAAATGTTCTCATACACATTAGGAAGGCTATTAAAAATGCACCTCAAAAAATAACAAGAGTTGGTGAGGATGTGGAGAAGTTGGAATCCTCATGCACTGCTGGTGAGAATGTAAAATGATGCAGCCACTGTGGAAAACAGTACTATGGAGCCTCAGAAAATTAAAAACAGAATTACTTTATGATCTAGCACTTCTGGGTATATACCCTAAAATAATTAAAAGCCAAAATGTGGAAGCCACCCATGTGGCCATTGATGGATGAATAAGCAAAATGTGATTCATATAGGTATGATAGGATACACAGCCTTAAACAGGAACAGAATTTCGTATGTGCTACATCGTGATGAATGCTGAGGACATATGCTAAATGAAATAAGCCGGTCACAAAAAGACGAATACTGTATCATTCCATTCATATGAGGTAATTTGAGGAGTAAAACCCATAAAGACAGAAAGTAGAATGGCAGTTGCCAGGGACTCGGGGCAGGGAGGGAGAAATGGGAAGTTATTGTTAAATGGATATAGAATTTCAGTTTTACAAGGTGAAAAGAGTTATGGAGATGGACGGTAGTGATAGCTGAACAACATTACAAAAGTACTGAATGTTACCGAACTATACAGTAAAAAATGATCAAGATGGTAAATTATACATTTTGTGTATTTTAACAGAATAAAAGTTTAAAAATAAATCTTACACAGACATAAGAAACGAAAAAGAACTGCTCAGGTTTTTTTGTTGTTGTTGTTCGTTTTTTTTTAAATGAGATAGCTGTGAGGCCTGTAAATTTCTAAGAACTGTAAGGCTTCCATGGTCCTAGAGGCTAGAAAGAGCCTCCAATTCATTTTTGTTTCCAAGTAATTAACAAGATTGAGTAACACTGTTGTGTAGGAACACACCATGTACTGTCAGTTCCTGGTTTTTCCAGTTCTGGCAAGAGGGAGCTGTCATGTAAAAATAAGCCAAGCTTGCGTACATCTGGGGAGATAACACTGCAGAAAAAGAGGGGCCTGTGGGGGGCTGTCCATGTTCAACTCGCCACAGTATTGCAAGGTCAAAATATTCAGTCACTGACTGACCCAGAGTGGACTCTTGAGTAATCAGGGGTCTCTACTATCATTCTGCATCCATGATACCTGTCCAAAGTCAAAAGCCAAGATGTTAAGGTTGGGATGGCCAGAAAAAGAGATCCCTATCCATTATGGACTGGGATTGGTGGTGGTCTGTTTGCTTCCAAGTTACCAAACGCTTCTCACGAGATCTCTGTGTTAGGATCTTACAGAGGATTTTAGACTCTGCTCTTCTTTTCAGCAGCTGTTAGGCAAAAAGCCTGGCAAATAGACCTTTGTTTAAAATGCAGTTGCTGTTCTAATTTCACCTTTGATATTTTATGTATACACAGAGAAGAGGAGAAGCCACTGTGCTCCAAAATCCTCAAAGTCAGGAATGGTGTTTTAAGGAACTTTTTAGCCCCCAGGTCCTAGCACATAGTAGGTGTTCAATAAACATTCAATGAATCACTTATTTGTTGATGCCAAATACTCTATTTTGCAAGTACAATAAAAATAAGGCAAAACTCAGCAAGAATCTATCACCACACCTTTTCCTTCTTAAGCCAGTAAAGGTAATATTCTGTTTAGAGTTCAGGTTTGATTTTGCCTTTAGAATGTCAGGGATGCAACAATAAGGACCAGATTTAGTCCGAGTTTTCAAGGATGCAGGTGCAGAACGTTTCACAGGCTGTTATAATTGCCCATGAGAGACAGACAGTCAGTGGTCGGGGGGGGGGGGGGTGTGTTGTGGAAGAGAGAGAGAGAGAATGCATGTGTGTTGGGGAGGGGTTAGTGTTCAATCCTAATTGACCTAATTTCTGTCATCATCTATAGAAGGGAGAAATTCCAGCACACCAGTCCTTTGCTATTCTTTCCTGTGAACCAAACTTGGGTAACTTCCTGACACTGGGCTGAATAAAGTCTATGGCAGTGTGCTAAGCCACCCCAACTACTTGAAAATGGTCTGGCAAACCTCATCCCCCTTTACAGGTTTCCCAAAGTGCAATTTGTCCCATCTCCCAACTTGCTACCCTGCATTCATCACATCTGACTTCTTCCGATGAAGGCTCCATGTCTTTGTTGAGAAACATTGTTTCAAAAGATGAACTGAGGCTGCGAATAGGATACTGAGTTCAAAACCTTGTGACATTGCCTTGTGAAAGAAGACTCATTCAGCTGCTTTTCACACACGCATGGGTTATCATCACACCACCTATAGCACTAAGTATTTATCGTCATCTAAATGTATGAATAACAGAGTTTGGCGGAGGTCTCTCCCACTGGAAGCAGAGACCATGAAAAGACACAGAATTTATCGTGGCTCTCCTGCAAGGCACGGACGGGTGGCATGGTACCTGAGTCTTGCTGTGTGTATGTAGGAGGTGGGTGGTGTCCTTTAAAACACAGGCCTAGAGAGCCTGGAGGAGCAACTTCTAACATTTCCCTCTGGTCTGGTCATTTTCTCTTACTCCTTTTGCAGCTAGGAGGGCTTATTAAAGTTAACTCTAAGTTATATTTGACTGCGACTTCTTTTAACAGAATTTTAAAAACCAAGTTTCCTTCATTATGGTCTTAGGTTGTCTGATAAGCATTGTATTTAATAAGATCAGTAAATAGATGCTTTCCTTGATTCTTGCTTTTAACTTAATGATTTATAAGGGATCCAACGAAGTCCAGAGGAAATAATGAATCTGATAAAATTTTAAAAATGCTTTTACTTAAATTTGTCACCTCAAAATATTGTCATTCTAAAAATACCTCTTTGATATTTCAAGATACTTTAAAGAACAAAATAAAATGACCAACTCAAAGACAAACTCCTCTGTCCGTGCTGAATTGTATCCCCCAAATTTTATATGTGGAAGCCCTAACCCAGAATGTTTCTGTATTTGGAGACAGGAGCTTTAAAGCGGTGATTAAGTCAAACTGAGTTGTTGGGGTTATGTCATTAAAGAGGAGGAAATGTGGACACAGAGAAAGATACGAAGGATATGTGCACACAGAGAAACCACCACGTGAGGACACAGGAAAACAGTGGTGACCTGCAAGCCAGGAAGTGAGGCCTCAGAAGAAACCAAATCTGCCCACACCTTGATCTTGGACTTCTGGCCTCCAGAACTGTGAGAAAATAAATTTCTAATGTTTATGTCACCCGACCTGTGGTACTTCGTTACGGCAGCCATGGCAAAATTACATCTTCTCTTACTAGAACGGAAGTTCCTCTCATTAGAAATATGCTGTATCAGCACAGGCGCTGTGTCTGTCTGGTTCACGATAGGCCCTCAGCAGTTATCAGTTGAATGCATTTGAAATAGAATTTACTAATTCAAAAATGTCAGTGAATTATTGGTGGGTAATTATCATCTCATCCTAATAGATCAGACGTGGTTTTGCAGCTTGGCCAACGATTCTCTGCCAAGGCCTGAAACAGCAGCATCTTCGTGAGTGGTAAATGTACAACGTGGTCTGTGTGGTTGCCTCAGCTAGATGACGGCCATCCGTTGCCATCATCGTTTAATCAAGACGTCCCCCTCTCTCTTCCTCACCCTGTGTTCTTTGACCCACCCCACGTTCACTATGTGACAGGAAGAAAAAAATATTTATATTTCTAGTTTTTCCTCTCAGCTTCTCAGACACTACATTTTCTGGGTTTTCTTGTCCTTTTGGCTGCTCCTCCTCCTGTTTTTTTGTTGGTGCCTTTTCCTCGGCGACTCCCTTAAATGCTGGGGGTCCTCGAGGCTCTGGCCTGGCTATGCTTCTCTTCTTGCTCCAGGCCAGCCCCTGGAGTCACCTCATGTGCCCCCAGAGCTTCAGCCACCCTCTGTGTGTTCTGCCTGTAGCTCAGAGAGCTCTCCTGAGATTTAGAGCCACGTAGTCAACTCCCCACTTGACATTGTTATTTGGGAACCTGGGGGCCCTTCAACTTGACAGAATCCAAAGTCAGCTCATCACCAGCCTCCTCCGATCTGCTCTACCTCCTGCACTCCTGAGAGGAGAACATGAGCTGAACTGATAACTGATTAATGGCTGCGATTTGTCCTCTGACATATAGGTCCCCTGGCTTCAAACACTTCTCACGCCCACTGCATCAACACTAATTGAAGCCAGCACAGTCTTATGCTTTGATTGCTGCAGAAACTCTCCTCCTTGCCTCAAGGCTTATCTCCGTTCCCATCAGTTCTTCCTACTGAAACTGGGATGTGTTTTCTGAAATACAAGTTGTACCATACTGCCTCTTTGCCTAACACTCTCCAGTGGTTTCCACCCCTCTTGGCTCTCCAGCGACCTCCTGTAATAAAATGGGTAAGAGCACAGCCTCTGGAGCCCAACGCTCTTGATGCCTGGCTGTGCCACTGACGAACCACACAACACTGAGGACGCTACCCAACTTCTTTATGCCTCCACTTCCTTGCCCGTAACTGGCAGGCAACAATGAAAGGTCTGAGGGTCACATGGGTTCTTCCGTGGGAAGCATTCAGCATGAAGCCTGGCACAGTGTGGGAGGATGGATTTCTCTTGCTAATAGAAATGGTAGCATAAAGTTCAATTCCTTACTGCTTCTGCCGCATTTCTTGCCACATCCCCCAGGAGCTCTGTGCTTCAGTGACACCCAGTCTCCTGCTCCCCAGCACACCATGCTCGCCTCTCGGAGACGCAAACTTCCCTGGCATGCTTCCTCAACAATGTGGCTGATCTGCGTCTACTCATCCCTCAGGTCAGGACTGTTTCTGAGTGACCTTCCCCATCCCCTAGTCAGGGTCAGTGGCTCCTTTCCACGTGCTCCCAAACCCACTGCACAACGATGACCTTTGACTTGTCTTTGACTTGTCCATGTTCCCCCTCTCCACCCCTGCAGGTTGCTCTTCTTCACACTCAGAAAGTCACACTGTGAATCCTGTCGGCCCTCTGGTCAAGGACGTCATTGGAAGAAATGGCTGGGGAAACAGTGAGGCCTCCCCAACCATTGCCACCACCAGGAGCTTCATTCACACTCCCAGCGGAGGGCAGCTCAGTTTGTCTCAGCTGTACACGGAGAGGACACCGATTATACAACATTCTGCCACGTCTCTTCCTTACATAGGTAAATTTATAAATTACACAGAACTCTATTAGGAACCACAGGTATCTGATAATGCTCCATGTAGACCAATGAGGCTGGGCTTCCACATACAAAGAGCACAAATGTTCACATATCCATGTCTCTGCAGTTGGCTACCTCTGCTCACAGGAGATCCCTTGGTCATAATCATCGTGCTGCTACCAGTTTCTCACTCTTCCACACTCTCCCTACACGCCCACCAAGACAATGATACAGTGACAGAGACTCAATCTGTAGTCTGCTTTTCCTTAGCTTAGCTGCACTGCAGGCGGAAGAGAACACGCTGCCTCCCCAAGGGCAGTTACCTTCTCGAGATCTGGTTCCTCTAAGCCCAGCGCTAATTCGTTGTTGTCCATTACAGAGGACGCTGCCACATCCAGCGGGGTGGATCCCCTCATCGATGGGGAGGCTGAGGGAGGAGCCGAGAATTAGCAAGAAAGGGACAGAGGAAGGCACTCAGCGCTGAGCTGAGATTGCAGTGCACATAAGTGGACAGGAGAGGGCAGCAAACACATTGAAACCCGGTTCACCTGACCGTTCTCCAACGGGACAATCTGCCTGAGTTAAGAACAACTCTATTAGCTATCCTTCCTCCCCACATTCATTGCCACGAATATCAATTAATAGAAAATCAGTTTATATTAGCAGCCGGGACCATGTATTTCCAAGGGTTTTTCTAACACAAAACTTCTGGAGGCCCCCGTATCAGATGCCACTTGACCAATTAAGCCCAATGGAACTTGGATATTTCTGGGGCCCCCACCTAGAGTTTAAAAACAGCATCAAACTGCATTAGCTCATATAGTTTCACCAGGTGACGAATGTTGTTTTTGACTTGTTTGGTTCTCAGGCTAGAATCAAGAAAAACTTCAGGCGGCAATTTACAAAAACGTCAGTAGCCTGAGGTTGCATCTGATAAATAAAAATCCCTGAAATTTCAGTTTTCAAGTGCAAGTATTTGTGTATTCCACAAATTCATTTCATTTATATCCAGAACAGTGAGTAAAGCATATGAACTGACTTGCTTTTCTAGTGGTGGTGATGGATTTACTCTTGGCCAGTCTGCCTCCCTGCTAAGGAAAACATGTGCCAGGAGGTTGATGGACAGGTATGCAGCCTGCAGCCAGCCTGCCCAGAGGAGATCTGATCCATGACCTTGGTCTTATCAGCACTGCTCCCTGGTCAGTTGAGTGGGCTGGGAAGAGCTGTGCCCCCAGAATGTATCTGCAATCCTAGGGGCATTTTGTAAACCACGAGCCACTGGTCCCAAGACAGAGGAGGTAAAACTGTATGACTATGCCAACACTAATCCGTCACCAACGTTAGCTGGTAGCAACATCTCTACTTATGCTGGAGAACGTTGTTGTGGCATAGGTATTTCAGTTGTTTTAGATCAGGCAGGGTCCCTTCTAGTATTTACAAATGTCACAGCATGCATGTGGCTTCTTTCCCTGTATTTCCTAAGTGGTCAAAAGTGGGAGAGTAACCTTCGAGTTTGAATGTGAAAGTTACAACAAGACTCACGCACCTAGGCCAACACTGCTGTTCTCCAGAAGATAACTCAGATGCTCAAACATGGCCTTCTGATTCTGCCGGCTAATTCGACAGAAATAGCAAAGGAAACGGCAGCAGCTAGCAACCATCTTTGGAAATGCAATCTGTAGGGAGAAGTAGAAAGTGTCAGAGAAAAGCATCTATCACAGGGCCTTTCTGAAAACTCTGACCTCAGAGTCTTAACTGGGTCAAGTTTTGTAGGCTGTGAACACTTGGAAAAAATGAACATTCTTCTTCCATTTTTTTTTCTAAGACTTATTCACAGGAGAGACAGAGAGAGTGGACACCTAAGAAGAGGCTCCCAAAAATACTGAATGATGGTTACAGTTCCTGAAACATCTTTCCTCCAAGAGAAACAGATGTCAAACAAGAATCCCAATCATCCTCAGACGTCATGTGAGATTGCATGACCTTGTACCAGGCTATTGTTTCCAGCTAGGAAGGAAGCAGACAGAATTCTGATGGGAAACATATGTGTGTGTGTGTGTGTGAGAGAGAGAGAGAGAGAGAGAGAGAGAGAGAGAGAGAGAGAGAGAGGGGAAGAGGAAGAAGAGAAGAGAAGAGAAAAGGGAGAGAGAGACAGAGAGAGAGAAAGGGAGACAGGTAATCACAGACAAATAAAACCCACCAGTATATCAAGGCCCAAGTGCCCTGGGTCAAGGCTCGCCTCTACAGTTAGGCAAGCCTGAAAGGCATCACTCCTTGAGTCTTCCCTGGTTACTTTTGTCACTGAGAACTGCTCTCCTATGGGATTCCACAGCACTTGTAATTTGATTCACGCAGTTTAGCATAAAGATGCCAACTTACACTACTGTTGATTGTGCTTGGTTTCTCTGCTTAACAAAGTAATCAGCATCTCTAGGTTGGGCCAAATCGTCTTTTTGATCCTACAATGCTCAATTAATGGTGCCAGTGTTAGCCTTGCTCAGGATCCTAAGACAACCCTGATCTCCTCCTTTAACATCATAGAGGATGCGCTAAAATATAAGGTTCAGAAACTTACAGTCTGTCTGCTTGCTGAGGCATCCAGACATGTGCTTAGGGATCTTAGATTTCACTTTCCCAAGAGACCAGAAGGAAGCCCGTAAGGAACGTGATCTTGGCTTCTGTTCCTTCTTGACACTCCCTCCGTTCCCCAGTAGCACTGATGAAACTGCACTGGAAATCATCCATTCCTAGGACCCTGGCACTCTGGAATTTCCAACATTTGAAGCCATACCCTATCTACTGCCTTCAGAAGCAGTTTAACCATGAGGAGGACCCCAGCCCAGCTGGATAAACGTCTAGTTGTGTCCTATCCCCACTCCTCTCCCCTTACCAACAGGAGCTCTCCCTGATGCGGGCTCCTTATGGGGAAGCGGGCAGGGAAACCTGGCTTCTTCAGGAGCCTGGTTGACAGAGGAAACACAAACACTTCTGGAGGAACACTGCCAGGATCACTATTGAGATCCTGTTCTCATTTAGAACAGCCTTTTCCTGACTCAGCACAAGGCACACCAGACTCCTAAGTGGAACTCAGAGTCACTCCATCTTGGAAAGAGCAGGGCTGCAGAATACGGGAAGTAAACTTAGCAAATGAACAGTCCAGTGGGATTAATGAAGAAAGCCTCAAAGCTTCAAGAGCTCTTACACAATGGGCTTTCATCCAGCAGCTTTATCCCATCGCTTGGCTCCTTCCTGGCACTGGGCATGTTCCTTCCTCTCCCTGGAAGAGTAACTGAGGCGAGGGATGTCAGCCATGTGCCTCTGAACAAGTGACCTCACATGCTCCTGCCCCAAAGTGGGGAGTTCTGGCTAGGTTCTCCTTACAGCATTACCTGAGATTTCTCTGTACCCAACACGTTCACCATCACCTCCATCACGGTCTCGTGCATGCCCAGGACTCTCATGAGGTTGGGATGCTGGTAAAACACCTTGTTGTTCATTATGTCTCTAGGATAAGGATCAGAGAGAGTCTTCAGCACTTGCTTCTATCTATGCTATGAAAATTCAGGGATGAGAACACGCAAACACATAGGGTGTGAAGTAATTTGAAAGTGACAGGCTTAAAAGAATAAGAAGGCACTAGGCCAGTTGGAATATATGTGGAGGGTCATTTTAGCTGTCAGAAATATTCTGTGCTCCTCTATTTCTATGTACTTGCTTTTTCTCTTTGAAACATTTCTTTCTAATGACCAATTAAACATCCCTTGTTTTATTTTTTCTTGTAATCATTTTAGATACGAAGGAAGCTTTTGGACGATAGTCTTTAGAAACTCAGGACATTAACATGCAAGAACAATTATATCTTTAAGTCATTTAATATCAATTCACAGAGTAAAGCTGCATGCAAATCGAAACACAGAAACAGCCTGGTAACTGGCTGTGTCCCCCTTGCTGGGTGGTTACTTTCTGCCTGCCCATTCCCTTTCTCTTGAGGGTTGTGGGAAACACCACCTGCAACCGCCATGCTATGTCTCTACAACTTCTGCTACGTCCACTACGAAGGCCGGGGGAGACAGTAATTCTCTAACTGTATTCTCTTCCCACAGAAGTCTCTTTGCTTATATAAGATTTCTCTTTGGAAATGAGTTTGACGAATGCATGCCTTTCCCCGCAAGGATCCTGAACTTCCCTTTCCTGCACGTTGGCGATGCTCCTTTGTTTTGCTGGCTTAAGGGTGGTAGGATGGAATGTTAGGTAGGAGGGTGCCTGTAGGTCTAGCTCTCGATTCTAATAAAGTAAAACTATAGGCTGGTCAGTGAATCTTGTTGGACCTTGGTATTCTCATCTGCAAAATAGAAGTGCTACACTGCATAATGAAAGGAAATTCTTTTGATGTCTAAAATGCTCTGAATTTTTTGACCACATGGCTTCTAAGGGAGAGCCATGAACTACTGTTATGGGGAAAGGTATCTCAGCGAACTAACAAAAATGCGTTTAGGTTAGTCCTGAGAGAAGGGAGAGATCAGGGGCAATTTTTCAGAGGGAAGTGTCGGAAGATATCTAGTCAAAAGCACAAGTGCTCACATCATTTCTGTCTTGGGTTGAACACACTGTTCCTTCTTCCAAATGTTTTCATGGCCTCCCTGGGGTTATTTTCCAAAGATTAAAACCAAATAACTCCTTTCTCTGCAGCCTCCTCCGTACCTCTTTTAGCAAAGCCTTCTTGTGAGTAGTTGGGTCTCTTAGGTTACAAAGGGGATATGACCTCATGAGAAGTGAAATTGAAATCAGGTCACACAAAGATTTAATATGATTTGATTCCAGAACATCCATTTATCAAGGTAAATCAGTTTTCCCACTTAAAGTCTCTAGAGAGAATGGCATGTAACTGAGAATCACCTACCCCAGCCCATTGATCATGAGCAACTCCTCTTCCTTGCCCATCCTGACACTCAGGAGGGAGCGGATTTGGCCCAGGGCAGCCAGCAGGTTGATGGTGTCGCTTACAGAAGCGTGGCTGATGGTGTAGGTCTTCCGCAGTGCCTGCAGCAGCTCCCCGATGCTGTCGTACTGCCTCCGGAGGAGGTTGAACATCATTCGGACCAGCTCTGCATCCTGGATCTGGTCCTCCTGGGCCCAGCAGATCATCGTCTGTGAGATGAGTTCCTTCAATGTTGCTGGAAGGACAACAGGAGGGACCAGATCTGTGATTGTTATGGCTCGGAGAGCTGGGTCTTTCAGCCACTTCATGCAAACGTAAGATACATTGCTGGTTGAGGTTAAAAAATTCTTATTATAGGCAATGTGCAGAGGCTCATGCCTATAATCCTAGCAGTTTGGGACACTGAGACTGAAGGATTGCTTGAGCCTAGGGGTTTGAAACCAGCCTGGGCAACTTTGGAGACCCTGTTGCTACAAATAAATAAATTAATAGGCGGGTGTGGTTGCACATGCCTCTAGTCAACTACTTGGGAGGCTGAGGTGGGAGGGCTGCTTGAGCCTTGGAGGTTGAGGGTGAAGTAAGCCATGGCTGCACCAGTGCACTGCAGCCTGGGCAACAGAGTGGGATTCTACCTCAAAAATACATTTGTATTTTAAGGGTGGGGTATGACATGCACAGAAGTAGAATACGTCATCAAAAGACAAACCAGCTATATAACAATGAAAGAATATCCCAATTATGAGTTGAGGGTGCTAACTATTCTATTTCAATTAAATAATATTTGCATTCATGCTGGGATGAGAGAACAGATCTAAAGGCTTTACAGTGGGACATCTGACCATCGGCTCAACAGACTTTTTCTGCATTGGATCTTTGGCAAGAGTCAGCTGACACTGCATGTTTATAAGCATCTTTCATAAGCATCAACAGATAAAAACCACAATGACTTTGAATTCAGAATTTATTAGGGCTTATACTGGTTTTACAGAAATTTTACTGCCTATACAAGTCAAAGATCACCAAACTGGGACTCAAAGCAGCTGTGGAACCTTCAGAAGTTATACTAAAAAGGCTCTGAAAATTGTGATCGGCACTGGTATAGGAAGTAAATGAGGAAGGGGACTTGTTGGAATGGTTGGGAAGGCAATGCTCACCCCTTCCCATGCCATCCACACTTCCAGAAGATGACAGAGGTGAGACACGCTGCTCTTAAATCACAAATGCATCCTACTCTGGCACTGCATATCAGAGTCCTACAAGGTATGCATGGCAGGAAGATCCTTAATTCAGGCCAGGCAGAGCCAAGGGGACAATGGAGGTCACTCAGTAAATCAGTGAAAGAATGGGAGTAAACAGATCAGTGCTTCTGGTAGCCTGTGCCATCTCTAATAGTCAAGGTTTCTACTCCATATCACTCTAGATGGCAGATGTCTGCTCTATATACAGTCTTGGCTCATCGTAAGAATGTAAAAATAGAACTCAGTTACCAAGCTCTAAAAGAGACCTAGATGTAAAGGATTAATTTAACTTACTGCTGTGTCTATCAACCCTGTGGGTGTGTTAGGTTCAGATGGGAGACATAAATGAAAAACCTTAAAAAAGGACACCCAAGTCAGAGAGAAGCACAGTTAAAAGACGTTCTTAAGAGATCTCACTAGGCAGGGACTGCAGACTAATGCCTGTTAGGTTCGGTAATATCTGTATCCTCTGGGGACAAAGTCATTTTCGGGCTATGCTGGGCTCCTTGTCGAAAACCTGCTTCCTCAGAGTCCAAATGTAAAAGTTCCTGCGTCTCCTAGTTAATTCACACATATATATTTTGGAGGAGAAAACCCAATTTTATTTTCTATCATATTATTAAAAAAATCTGGTAATAATATATTTGTACAGAAAAAAAAAACCAAATGAATAGTAAATGAGAGCACAAAAGAAGTAATTTAAATTTGCTGTTTTTTCTCATGATATTAGAATGACAGTGCCTGGCTTCACAGTAGGATTTTTCACTGGCCAAAGCCTGCCATAAAACTAGGCCTTTCAGTGTCTGTCTAGCTGCTGGCTCTTTACAAAACTTTTGACATCTTCAAGAAAAGTAACATCCTCCTGGTGCTGCAGAACTGTGCTGAGCTCCATCAACCCATCCACAAAAGCGACAACCACCCCTTGGTCCTCAAGGAAATAATACAAAGCCTAGTCCAGGGACTTTGTGTTGAGTGTGTACTCGTGTCCTTCCATCCAGACTTGCCATTGGACTGAGAGCTAACCTCCCTGAGGGAGGAAATGTTACTCTCCACCTGCTCTTCTTGTCCCAACTCATCCTCTGATGGGGATAATTCAGCACCAGGGCCTTCTTGCCACCATTCTTCGTAACTATGAAATTGGGAGTTGATGTCAATCCAGAATCCCGTTCTTCAAGCTTCTGCCCTTGTGAGGTCTCCTCCTCACCATGAGATGTGGGCGGGGTGCTGTTGTTAATGGTGAAAGCGACAGTGATCTTTCCCTGGGCAACTTGCCACACTAATTTAGCTTCGGTCCCATTTAAATTCTAGCTCCCACCTTCCAGACCTCCTAGGGAGGTAATGCCTCTTACGCTTCTGGATTTTCCTTTCCTACTTAATTTCATCACTCAGAAATTCAACAGAAGCTTTGTCTCCTTTGGTGTGCAGCGCACAGCTGCTGTAGTCACAGGCACAGGGCCTAGGAGGCCGCAGGAGGCCAAGCTGCCATGCAGACCCCACACATGCACGCTGAGCAGCTCAAAGGGCCGGGCGCAGGACCCAGGTGCTGCTGGCATGGTGGGGGAGGCGTGGTAGCATGGAGGCCAGCAACTGCGAAGCCCAGGGCACTGGGCATGTGGCACAGCAGAGGCAGCATCACAGGGGTGACCGCAAATATGTATGGATGCATTCCTAGTTACTATTTGTGTAGTAAGAACAAAAGCAAGACAGAAACATAGGCTCTTGGGACCAACGTAAGTTTTTCTAGTCCCGTCAGTACAACTTCCTCTAAAACCTGTACCTTGGCTCGAAAGAATTATACTTCTCACCACCAACAAAAAAATTCTCTGCAGATTTAATGCATGTTATCCCAGCCCCTGCCACACTTGAAAAGCAATAATCAGATCGGGTGGAATTACTAATCTGCTCAAGGACCATCTTCTTTTCAATAGAGAATTTAACAGAATCATAATAAAACCAAGTAAATATTAGTTTCCCTTAATCTGGCTTTCAGATGAATTCAGGATTTGGGTAAGCTCTTAGCCTCACAGCGATTCAAAAATCTAAATCAACATTTGTGGCCTAGAGAAGAGAGCATGTGAAGCAAAACAACTCACTGAGAGCAAATAGAAAAGGAAACAGCCTTCCAGCCTCAAAGCATGGAGCAGCAAATACCTTCCAATACCATCTTTGTCCGGGCAAGCCTTCAAGGCAAGTGTCAGAGAATGGGATAAGTATTCCTGTGTGACCAAGCTAAAGTACAGTTAAACAAACAAACAAAAAGTAGCCACCAGGTCCTGCCAGAAAAGGAAGCAAGACTTACTGCTGCATTGCTGACAGGTAGAGGGAATTCCATGGAAGGTCTGACATTTAAAGCCCTGTGTATTGGACACTGTTTCAAATGTGAGACCAAGGTACAGCAGGTGAAAGAAACAGTAACTATTAAAAGAAAGAAAATTCAGGGGGAGAGGGGAAGAAGGGGACATTTTCAGGAGCCATGAAAAACACAGCATACTTTGTGATATGACATATACTAGAGACTCAGGGCCTACCAAGCAAACGCAGGCAGAATCAATGAACTTCTCAAGGTCTAAACACTTTTGGGACTGAGAAAATGGAGCTTTATACCCCTAGCAGCAAATGCTACTGAAAATTCTTCAGATTTTAATTAGCGTCCATGCATCAGCAGCAGAGCAGCCAAAATGTACCAAAGTCGAGAAGTTAAAAAGAATACATTTTCTAGCCTATGCTAGGCTCTCCATATACCTGTACATCTGATGATTAAACTAATTAATGCATACCACCATGTGTGGCACATGCTGTAGGTTTAATAGTGGTGAATTATCACTGCTATCTGTACCAATAGCTATACAAATGTGATGTGCTGAGCCCTGGGGGCCCAAGACCCTTGAGATACTCTTCGAGGCCAAATGTGTTTTCATGAACATTGCCAAGATATTGTTTGCCTTTTTCACTGAATTGATAATTACACTGACAGTACAGAAGCAACGGTGGGTAAAACTGCACGTGCCTTAGCACAAATCGAGTTAGCAGCACCCAGCTATATCTTCCACCACCACACTTCCAGAAAAACGCCCAGTTTCACATAAGGATGTCCTGACAGCAGCAGTAAAAGTTATTAATTTTATTAATATAAACTCCTAAGTGTACATCTTTAAAATATCCTGTGTGACAGAATGGTACACAGAAAGAAAAGAAGTAAAGCGCTTCTGCTGTGTTTCAAAGTTCAGCGGTTTTTCTGGAGGAAAAGCACTTGTATGACGGAGTTTTGAGCTAAACTAGCTGCTTATTTCAAGGAATGCCATTTTTAAGTCAAGAAGGACACACTACGGTTAACTTGATAACTGGACTTAAAAAAATGAAAAAAAGGAAGGCTTTCACTTCAAATGACAGTATTGATTGCGAATAATGAAATTTGAGATTTCAAGTGAAAACTAGAATTTTGAAAAATGTTTATCTGCCACTGGGAGCTCAATAGTTTCCCAACACTTAAAGGCTTTTCTGATCAAGCTGTCAGTGTTAACAAATGTGATTTTAAAAGTATTTTATAGTGAAATGTGTCAACATTTGGAAGTTCTGATTAACTCAGTGAATCAATAGTCTCCCAATGATCAATGAATGATGTTACAAAAACATTCATAGGTAAAAGATCTATTCAGTGTGCAAGATAGGCCAACGAATTTTTATGTAATGAAATATAAACATCTATTTAATATGGTTTCAGATTCCAGATGACAACTAACTTTTCAGGAACTACTACTTGTTAAGACATAGTATTAGATATTTATATATTCAGAGAAGAATATCCATAATTATTGGAAAAGGCTGTGAAAAATACTACTCTCCTTTGAATTATATATTTATTTAAGGCCATTTTTCTTCCTATTCTTTAACCAGATATAAAAATCCAGCTGTCTTCAATTAAGTCAAACATTAAAGAGATTTATAATCAAGCAAAGCAATGTCATATTATTTTTGTTTTGAAAAATTTGTTTTTCCT